CCCTAAATTAAATATAAAGATAGCATCAAACTGGACTCTTGATTAACATCAAATTGGACTCCTCCTAATTAACTAAAACTCTAAAAATGCATCCGTAACAGATTGCTGCCGTCGGCCGTCACTGATTTGCTAGAATTTTGCCGCTGATGCTGGAGTTTTTGGAGTACGCTGCCACCATCAACAAATTGATCTTAATTATACAAGGCAACTAGGGGCATTAATTAATTATATTAAGGGAAGAAATGTAATGTTTAAAGTCATTTAATGAAAATTAGTTTGTTCTTATTTTGAGATGAATGCAATGATTTAGGCCCTGTTTGGCAAATGGCTTATCAGCCATTTTTTGGCTTCTTTGACCACAATTAATTACTTTGACCTTGTAAACAGCTAAAATTAATGTTTGGTAAATAGATGGTTGATTTAGCTTATTGATCCCAAAAAGCCAAAATTTGAAACGCTGGGATAGGCAGCGTTTACCATCGGCGTTTCCGTTTTTTCCCCTTCGTGCCCTCCCTCTTTGACGCACAACACCACTTTCAATCTTTCAATTATTTTCGTTTTGCCTCTGCTACAAAAAATCTTCCTCCATCATCTGCAATTTCGTCCTCAAATATTCTTCGGGTATTAGAATTAGGGAGGTAAGCATTCGTATGATTGTGTTCGTTTCTAGTTTTTTCTATTTTATTTCCAAAGCTGCTCACTTTGTTTGCTCCCAACTTTTTCTTCCTTTATTAATTTATTTTGTTTCTATAGTGGCGTATAAATTCATGTGTATAATTTGATAGCAGTGATGATAAAAAAAATCGATAGCAGTGAGGTGTTTGTTTCTTATTTTTAATAGTACATTTCTACAAGTCTAGTTTATTTGTAAAATTCCTTGATACAATTAGTAAAAATATTGTTGTGTTTGTCATTCAATAAAACCAGCATTCCTGCTTATGATGGTAAATAATTAGTTTTACAATTGAATGGGAATCAATTACATTTTCTATTAGGTTGTGCACTAAAAATGCCGTGAAGTTGCTTAAGGTGTTTTTTATAAGCAATAGTTAAAAAATATTAATGTCCTTTTATGTCTTTTTACACTCTAACAACTAATTTTAAACAGCTAATTTACCAAACAATTCCTGACAATAAGCTAACATAACCAGGTAACACAACCAGCTATTGTCAATCAGCTGTCGTACCAGCTAACAGCTAACCGCTAACAGACGATTGCCAAACAGGGCCTTAGTCCTACAATGAGTAGTTCCTCTATATATTATGATAAGAAACAATTAAATAAATAATTGAGACAAATATAATTCATCCAACAATGTATATTTCTACAATAATAAGGAGGTCTATGTATCCAAATTTATTTTTATTAATTAAAAAAAATGAGAGAATGATCAACAATCTAGGCCTATTTATGCTCAATTGTTATATTACACAACTCAATGAGTAGTAATGCTAATCGTTATACAATTGTTACACTCATGTTACATGTGTTACGAGCATATATGCATTCGAGCCTTTCTTCTTAATAATTAATTTGTTTTTCTTTTTAGATTGTTAAAATTTGTTTACATATTTAAATATATAAATATTTTTTTTTGTTTAATATTTTCTTTTTACGTGTTAGCAGTTTAACGATGAAACATAGTAATTGTTAAACATATTTTTATTTCGTAAATCCACCAATATGATACTATCGAATCTTATATCGGTTTTATTTACAACAAAACCTTGAACCGAATCAATATTGGATTGACGATTCTTCAAATGGTTCCAAATTTTCTTTCAAGAATTAAACCGATCTCACCCTCATCATCATAAGATGATACATAAAACACCTTTTTCAATTCCTTTTTAGTTTATCTCGTGTATTAGTATTAATGTAGAGTATCCTTGTTCAATTTTATTTATCGTAAAATGATAATAAATCAAATTTAATTTTCAAACCTTGCATATCGAGAACCCAATACTAGTCCAAGATCGGTAGCCGGTTTATAATTCCGGGTAAATAATTAGTCAAATATAGTATGATTCTGGAACTGGATCTACATGTACTTGTGACGAGTAGGGGACAAAAGAAAAAGTCCACGGAAATCTTTGGTGATGAAAATAGAAAATTGTAGAGAATTGATGTTATAAAAATGAGTTAAACATACACGAGAATCCGTGATTTTAAAAGTCCGTAAAAATTAATTGAAGCTTGAATATGCCTAGACTTTTTTCGACTTTTAAGAGTCTATTGAATACACCTAGATCTTTTTAGACCTTTAAAAATCTATATTCAATACATCTAAAATCTTACCACTAACTTTTTATACCATACACCCCTTTTAGATTATCAGAAGTCATTCCAGAGTACTTTGTCCCTTCATAAATAAACTTTTCACTTTCTTTTTATGGATGTTCCTAAATAAAGTTCATTTTCCCTATTTGGTAAAAAGTAACTTTAAATAGGAAAACAAATCTACCTAACTAAAAACAAAATAATTACTAAGAAGAAAGGCTTGAGTCCACGTATGCACGTAACACATGTAGCAGCGAGTGTAGCAATTATGTAACCATTAGTATTCTTACTCATTGAGTTGCGTAATATAACAATTGAACATAAAGAGATCAAGTTTGTTGATCATTCTCTCAATTTTGAGTTTTCTAATTAATAAAAAGAAATTTGGATACCTAGGTCTCATAATTATTGTAGAACTTTGCATTGTAAAAAAGGATAGAACATTTTGTTTGTATCTTATTTATTATTTCTAATAAGATGTGCTTGATACAGTTGCACTCATGGTTGTGATGGATCATTTTCAAAAAAGAAAACTCAGAGAATGTTGTTATAGTAAAATTTAATAACTCACATTGTGCTAATGTTGGATTGTTTCACTATTTGAACTTAATTTATAATTAATTATTAAAAACCTTATTTTCTCTTAATTTATACTACTTCCGTCCCGAAAAGGTTTGCCAAATTTCTTTTTTTGGATGTCCCAAAAAGATTTGTCATTTCCATTTAAAGTAAGGAATATGTGGTTAAAGTTAATTCTTTCTCCTCTGCACAAATTTCAACTACACAGTTTTACTTTATTAATCCACGTGAAAGTCAAAATTGACAAACCTTTTTTCGGGATGGAAGGAGTATGTTTTATCTTATCCTGCAAAAACTTATTTAACTAAAAAAATGATGTTAAATTGATACTACAATCTAGTTCGATCAAACTCCTCTTTGGCTGTACTTCATTTTAAATTATTAGATTTCTAATTATCTGAAATGATGTCCAACCAAAGAGGAGTTTGAGTAAATCAGTCTGTAATATTAAATTTAAATATCACTACCACTTGATGCTTTATTCAAGTTTCTCATTTAATTATTTAACATTGTCTGTGAAATTAACTTATGAAGCTATAAAGTATCTTTCATTTTCGGTGTGGGAAGAGTCTAGAATATAATGAAGACATATGTCAGGAAAATACTTTCCCTCACTTCACTTTTTTCTTTTTCTCTTCTTTCTGTCTATCACTCCCATACTAAAACATATGAAGGGAAACTAAATAGGAGTTAAAGTTTACTAGTAATTCACATGTGCGTTGCATAAATGTAAATAAACAGATATATTTATGAACACATATGTAGAATTAAAGTTTAACTTACATTGAGAAGTTTAATAAGCATAGAGCCTCTAAGATATCAATGAAATTTTTTCGGATTTTCTTCCTCATTGTATATCGCGAAGTTTAAATGAGACAATTTTGTCACCCATTAAACACGATAGTCATGTTACCAAAAACGTTACATATATACTTATCATAAACTTGAAAAATGTTCCCCAAATAATTATTTAATAAGTTAATGGCATAAATAACAAATTGAATATTTGATAAAGTACTTCATTTTAGGAAGAAAACTTAACATAATCTAAATTAATTTTTATTTATTTTTTTGCCAAAAAAATGTTCAAATAGTATTAATCAAATCGTGACACATAATGCACAAAATTGAATTGGGAGGAAACAAAAGCGAGACTTGATTGTCACACAGAAAACGATCTCTCTCCATTTAAAATAGAGAATGTTCTGTGAAGGATACCCTCCATTTAAACATAGCTGAAACAACATGCACACATTAGGGGTGGGCAAAGATACCGGAAAATCGGTATAACGCACTTGCCGTACCGAAAAATGTCCGAAAATATCGGAATAATTGTATACCGTCATTTTTTGTACGGTATCATACCGTACCGATTTATTTCGGTATGATAATGGTAAATGTTTTCAAATACCGCAGTATACCGGTATAATACCGTACCGACTCCTTACCCAATAATTACTTTAAATTCTAAACTATTGTATATGTCCATTACAATTTTGAAGCCCAAAATCAATACTTAGGTTGGTTAGAAATACTAAAATACAAAAAGAAAGGTCCAATTTCACAAACCCACTATAACCTTCTAGATTTCTACTACGTAACATTCAAACAAACTAACCTAATGACTAATGAGTATTATACTAATGTCCAAAAACCAATCCATCTTATACACTTATGTGACAAATGTATCTACATAGGGATTCTACGATTCGAAGCACACAACTTTGTCTGAAAGCCTATTTCAATTGTTTTTAATTATACAAATGATTAAATACACAATATCATATTATTGTGAGATAATATTAGTATAAGGGTATAATAGTCTCTTAGCCTTTTTTTTAGTCTTACGTTTGGAAACTTTAAAAAAGGGTCACTTTTTGTCCAAAACTCTTTTTTTAGTAATATTTTTGACATAACCCCTAATATAAAATCTAAAAATCCATTTGATAATACTTAAATTTGTTGAATCTATTGAAGTTGATAAAATTATGACTAAATCACTTGAATTCAAAGAATGTACAAAACAAAACAAAATATATTCAAAATATCTACAAAGACTAAAACATATTTAAGTCAAAATTATATGAAAATAGCTAAACTGATCATTTATAACTTTACCCAATTCAGGCACAAAAATAATTTCAACCTTACTTGTTTTGATATTAGACAATTTAGCGCACAGAATCAAAACTTACGTGTTTGATAAAACATTAACTCATAAGACTGATAAACTAAAAATAGGGGTTATCAAACAGACTCTACCAACTAGAAAAAGGGTTATAAACCGTTATATATCATCAGAACTTCAGGTTTATATGTGAACAAAATGCTTCATGAAAAAATGAGCATATGCATTTTTATGCATAATAAGAATCACCAAAATGTACAACACTGTCACTGTTTCCGACCAGAGACAGTTCTCTTAACAGCTCCAACAGAGACTAAGAAGTCATCAAGTGATGACAAAGTCCTCATATCATCTGCAGGAAAATAGCTTGCTGCTCTACCCAACAATGATGTGAAAAAAATAGGGATAGATGGTGGCCTCGTAACACCAAGCAGCTTGTCTATAAACGCAAAAGCTGCTATCAAATCAGACCCGCTTGCATTTACTGGTGCGGAAAAATGAGCTGGGATTATTCTCTTGAACTTCCAGTCCCGCACTATGCCATCGACCCAATCCTTAACCTGGTTAGGCCACATAAGCAACACTGTAAATGAATAATCTGCACATATGCAGAAACATTAGGAGAGTATTTGCACCTAAACCAATTTTTAAAAACCTATCTCCACCCGACACCCCCAACCTAGTGCCAACATTAAAAGCATATTTGCACTTTTTAAATCTGAAAAAGGATGGGCGAAATACACCAGGGAGTTCTATTCACAGCAACAAAATTACTATATAGAGTATATACAACCACTCAAATAATTTTTAAATCACTCTTCCGCTACTAATATCACACGGTTAATCAGTCTAGACTTCCATAAACTCAACCACTGCCGGCCAACTAGGTTATTCCACAAACATACTTGATTTCGATGGCTGTTGTCGCTTGCATATATGGAGGAGAGTCCATTGTATTTATTGTTTAATTCTTTGTTCAAACTATTTGTCTGTACTCGGATTTGGAGTTGTGAGGTGACAAGGTCTCCAATACTCCATACTATATGCTAATCTAGGTATAATGAATGTGCGCACGCTTGTATGTAACAGACTTAAATTAACCATTTATGACAGCAAGGAAATTGCATTGAGTTTCAATTCTAACCATATTCTAGGACAATATAGATAGGGCTGTATTTAAACGCAAGGGCAATATATAGATATTGCCAAAAAAAGTTACTAAAATTGGTTTAGTGGTTCATAACTTCATATGTCCCACACATGTGTCAGTGCATGTACCAATCCTAGAGACTAATTGGGCAAGTGTGGACCGCAATAAAATGGGTCGAGTGTTAAGTGTTCGGGTTTTAGTTTTAGTCATTTCATAATTTAGACTTAAATTTTAGCACATGAACCTTTTTTGCATATTATGTAATTATTTAATAATTATTTCAAATTATGGTCAACTAAAAAAATTTAGTTGTTTTAATGAGGACTATAACTTTACACAGTTCTTTGAACATGATCATGGTTATTTTTTACTTAACAACTACTTTTATTATTTTAGGATAGAACAAGTCATATTTTGACAAAAAGGAATGATCCTTCTATTCTTGCATGGCTCATGTTTGCTCTTATTTTACATAATTTTTCATATTTTTAGCTTTTACTTATTTTATACAGTTATGTGTTTTCATATGTAAATATCGGAGCTTATATTTAACATTTTTTCCACAAATAAGTCTGTTTTTTATATTAATCTCATTTTGAATCATTATACACCATGCTGTATCAACATTTAGCAAACATGCTGCAACATATGTAGACATACATATAGCTCTAAAAAATGGAAATGATAGAGAGAGTGTTTGCAAAGGATTAAAAGAAATGTTTTCAAACTTTCTGCTTCAAAAGTTGAAATTGGTGTTGCTTCTGCTTAAATGAAGCACTTTAAGGCTAAAGGGTAAACGCAGGTCAAGTGGTGCTTTAAATTACATTTCAATTTTTCTATTACACACAAAGTATTTTTTTATCAAACACTACCATCTTTTACTTTTTCATTCCATACCAACTTTTACTATCAAGCATTTTCTCTAGAATCACTTTAAAAAACACTTTTTTCAAAGTAGAAGCAACTGCAAACCTCCCTTATAGTGCTTATGAAAGAGGTATTTGTGCTGAGGATACAAATTGTTATATACCTTTTCCGGAACTTTGCTGAATACCAATGTCTTAACGATGGGTGAAACAATAAGTTTCTGTGACACCTGACCAAAACTTGCATTAGGCTCTAGAAGATTCGACGGTCCTAGAAACAGAATCTGAAGAACCATCCTTTCCCATCCTGCAACAACAAAATATAATGCCAAAAGTTTGATCTTATTGTCGATCCTTCCTTTTCTCTTGTATTGCGTTTGTCTCAAGAAATCTAACATTACATACGCCGTTAAACTTGCCACTTGTAAGAAGTGGCATAACCATGACCCCATTTTTTCAATTTGGGGCATGCCAGAAAAATAACCACTCATCAATTTTCTACTAGATATTTTACACATCTAGAAAAGATTTTACCCAACTTGGGCCGGGTTGGGACCCAGTTTGCTCCCCCCACTACACCCCTGCTTGTTAGAGACAAAATGTAAGTAGTTCAAAATAATGTCAAAAGTAATTTTATACTCCCTAGTCCCTCCGCCCCCCTAATCTTTGCCCCATTTTACTTTTTTCATCGGTCTCACTAAGTTTATCCCACTAAGTTTGTCTCATACCATATTTCATCGGTTGCAATTCATTCTTACAATCTTACAGTATTCACACTTTACCAATTCAATACAAATCACACAAAACCACTTTCATAATCACATTATTCCCTCATTTCCCAATCTTAGGGGGCAGAGAAAGTTATACCTAAAACCCAAGGGAACCTGAGTGTCCCCAACATACCTCACTTTGTTACATGGATGTAATCTCACATTACTTGGTAATAATAAAATATGAACCAAACATGGTGATTTCACAGTACCTAGGTAATATGAGACCACTTAAACTAAATGCCTCCATAAAATTAAGCACGATGAGCTGCTTGGTAAAAAAGACTTACCTTTCTGGCGATTCATCTTGTTGTCAACAACGGGCTCTTCTGGCACTTGTTTCCCTTTACTAAGGATTTTGACAGCCAAACCATTCTTTGCAGATGCAAGCAGAGACTCCTTACTTATACATTCGGGAGGAGTCCTAGGAACAAATATTACAGCATCTGTCACTAATAATGTTCTTGAACGCTTATGATAGAACGCCACCTCAACATATGGTCCAATACCTAAAGTAAGAAAGGCAGGTTAGATCATCAAATGCAAATCACTACTAATCAAGGGCACACCTAAGAATAATTTATCGTGAGTGGGTAAAATTTTTGACTGAGTTTGAGCCAATCAAACCTAAACAAATATGCAAGTAACTCGTTTGAAAAGAATTATTTGGCAGAAAGCCAGAAACATAGGAAATGTCTGAGTGTTTGGATCTGCTTATTTTTTTACAGGAGGTCAAAAGCTACTTAGAGTCTGTTTGGTAAGTGTGACGTTGAATGAAATTGTAGAAGTTGCTAAAATGGCTGAAATTGGATACTGATGAAGTTGCTGAAATTGTGAAGTTTAAATGGTCATCTTAAGAAGCTTTAGCCATAGAAGTTTCTCCAACCTTGCATCTTTTCACTAAACCGTTTCAAAATGAAGATTCGAATAACTTAATAAATAAAAACCTGGATGATAAGGTTGATAAACCGAAAAAAGTGGCAGAATAAGAAGTGGATACCCAATTTTCTTATTCTGCCAGAATGGCTACCAAACAGTCCCTAAGTATGCAAATTTCGAATTTATCATTGAAAATAATAATAAAAAAAATTGGATGAACGTTATCTTCTATTAAAAAAACTTGCACTCGTAAAAATTTCTTCAAGCAGAATCCATCTCTGATGCACATTACTTGGATCTAGTTAGAAGAATGCAGTAAGTACCAACTTCTGGAGAACTAAGAACTTTCTGTTCGATCTCATCAGCCCACGGAGTTGAAAGATCTCCATCGTTTAAGATCTTGGTGCCAAATATCCCAAAAAACTCGAGTGGCAGATTTAATGGCCAACTCCATTGCCTTGGTGCTACCCATACTTGAGCCTGAGGAAACTTTCTCGAGAATGGGCCAACGAATATTTTGTGCTCATATGCAAATGTAGGCAACACAATATATTCCACGGGATACCCCAACTCTTTCACAAGCTGCACCAAGGAGCAAAGTATAATCAAATGCTAATATTTTAAATTCCACTAAGACAAGGAAGGGGAAACAGTTGAGGTTCAAAGGATAGAAAACACATCTTAGATTCTTTTTTTTAATTTGAATTTCAATAAACCCAAGAAGAAATAAGAGCGGGAGTGTGATTCTCAGCATCAAAACTGAGACTATAATATAGGTAAGTACTTAAATAACTACCTGGATACACTCCTTAGTTGGAGCAATTGGTGCATGAATCCATAAACCGCCCGATTTAAGTTTGATTACAGTCATTCTGATGTTTGTTGAGACACTGCTGAAGCCGAGTGCTTGTTCTTGTTCAAATAACCACATACAGTCTTTAACAGCCTGACATATTAATTATTTAATAACACAAAATGTCTGTCAAAAAAATGATAGGAACCCAATAACAACAGCCCAAATAGAATAAATAAAGGCACTCAGTACATTTCCCTGTTACAACATAAGCGGGTGTTTATTTATGCTATTCTAAACCAATTATTCTGTTAAATTAAAGGCATACATTTTAACTTTTAAGCAGTTCTGCAGAATTTCTAAAAATGATTATGTGGTATCAATTTAAGAAGCAACTTTATCAAGTTGATGTTTCATTAAAAATGTCGACTTAGATAGGATCAGTTATTCAATGACATATATGGCAGTTTGTGTTTTTTATTTCATTTGATGTCATGATGTGAGATCACCCAAAGTGTCAGCAAAATGGTTGCTCAAAGAAATAAACCAAGGTTTGAAGTCCTTGTGGTCATTTATTTAGGCTTACTAGACTCAAATAGTTAGTTTAAGCAGAAAGACAGTATATAATGAATGTTGGTTTGTTCTCTATCAAACTCGGTATACATTGATGGTTGGATTGTTCTCTAACAAGCTCACTTCATGAACCTGAAACTGATTCCGATCACCATTGTCTTTTTATTTATTTTGGGTAAGGATCATATCATAACTGCAACTAGCTGAACACTGTAGTCCGGGTGTCTTATAAGAATCAATACCAAACAACAACTCTGGATTAAACCCATTCTCCTCATAAGACAATAAGTTGTAATTAAAAGAGTTCCAATAATCAACATGATCTTTTTCCCAAACACCTCAAAGTTGGACATCTTAGCAGAACTCCTAAGATAAAAGAACAACGTTTAAGAAATGACCGATTATGTCTCTTTAACTTCATATCACATCAATTTGAATCTCACATTTACTGATCAAACAGTGTAAGCTTTGAAACTACTTCGTAAAGAGAAACGCACCACAGTCCGGATGGTGCGGCGGTTGAGGAAAGGGCCGAGAGGGAAAGGGAATCCAGTGAAATTGACATAGAGCCTCCCACCGCCGCCGCCACTCTTGGACGCCGAGTTTCCGGAAGCGGCGGAGGTTACTTCCAAGCTAACAGCACGTCTCCCTCTGCCTCTCCTCGGTTGCATCTGTAAAGAGATGCCCTTTAATGGCGACCCGAGGCTAAAACTGGAGGTTAACTCATTGAGAGGTGATGATGGGCTGTGTCCGGCGGTTACTTTTGGTGGGTGTATAGCCGCCATGGCTGTAGCCATTTCTGTTAAAACGGGTGGTCAATGCTGAAGAACAAAGAGATTGCGGTTCATAGAATGTGAGAGAGCGGGTGGCGGGTTCTCCAGTTTCAGGTTGCATTTTTGACACGTAAACAGAACTACTTCTCTACTTCTTAGGATTGATGAAATGGATTGTGGGCAAGTGTAAAATTGTGAATACATTTGTAGTAGAAAATCATTTTGGCCTTTTTTTATGGAATCACATTTCTTTCTTAAAAAAGAAATAGAGTAACATTTATTTGAGAATAACTCAAACAAGGAAAAACTTAAATATTTTTTTAATCCCTGAAAATATGATACACTTTATTCTAAATCCATACATAACATTTTTCTTGTTCTTCATCCCTGCTATATGCACTATTTTGTTTTAGTCAATATCTAATTCCGGAACTACTGTACTTACAATAAAAGTTACTTTCAGTTACATAAATCTACTAGAAATATATAAATTTGTCCTTTTATAATTTTTGTGAGGTTAATATGAGAATTAAAACAATTCAAAACTAAGTATTCACATTTTAGAAAACCTTCTGAAAAGTTAAATTAAATACTTTTTGAATAACAAGATAAAGAATGAGAGAAAATCTATTAATCGGGATTATTTTGAAGTAAAATGGAGGTTGTTATCATCCGTGATGGACCAAAAAGAAAACAAACATAAATTGCAGGGACGAAAAACAAAAACGTATTTTACAAAGATGTGAAACAAATGTACTATATTTGCAAGGATCATAAACACTAGTAGTATATTTTTTTGAATTAGTTTATTGAATAAAAAGGAAATTACAGAAAGTAGGATGACCAAATCAATGCCTACTCCCAAAATTATAGAATTACATAAGGAAAAATTATAGAATTACATAAGGAAATTCAATGACATCAAATTTCAAGATATTCGTGAAATGGGTAGCTTGAGAGTTGTTTCCTTTGCTAATGTACGTTAATGCATTGTGTTACGCGTTAGACTGCTCTGTTACTGACCTTGAGTGGAATGGATTGACGATTCAAATTCCTCCTAATGCGTGTAATAGTGTAGATGTCATCCCAATAGCCAATAGAGTGCGTCGTAATTGCTAGGCCGACCTTCTTGTCATCAATTTGGATGGAATCAATCACCTACTGATTATCACTACAAAATATCAAGGCATAAAGGATGCAACTAATGATAGCAAGTTGGGGAGATTTGGCAATAATCCTTTGGCAATCATGAGCAATAAGAGCATCTTTAATGGGTCTTTCTATTCTAAAAAATGCACAACCACATAAGTAAAAAATTGGGAGGATGCAAAAAACGGTCTCCAACGGAACAGTCTATTTGCAGCGTGCTGCTGAGCTGGAACGCCAATAAACCCATGCCGTCTATTTTTCTATGGACTTTCAGCAAGACTCCCAGCACTCTGACTCAGCAAACAATTAGTTTCGTGGAGAAAATTCATAAACGTTTGATTGAATTGTGAGTGAATTATTCCCCCACATGCGAATAAAACTCTTTAGAAGAAAAGTTGGATTGTTTTTTAGTGATGTTCCGTATGATTAGTTTTCAACTTCACGCTTGCGTTGGAGCATAGATGTTATTTTATACTCGTATGTTTGTGGATCCACTTCAGCTCCACGGTCCGTTTACATGGGTGACATGTCCATTTTTTATGGGGTGCAATCCATATCCCCATTAAAGATGCTCTAAGATCGCCCTTGTGATTCCTAATGAGGAAGGCCGTACTATGAGGCTATGAGCAAGGATCATAAACATATTTAAACCAGAAGGAAATAAACATGTTGCCTATTTTTGGATACAATATTATTTTTTCTCAAATACGGATTAGTGCTCCACTGTTCCCTCTCATATATTCAGAGCAAGTTACAACATATTCCAATCTCCAAAATATTTATACCCTTGCAACACTTCCCTTTCTTAGATAGATTTTCATCTAAAATATCTAATTAAAATTAATTTTTCTATCTTTTCAATTTATCTTTCATATTCTTTTGTTATAAATTCAAAAGGAGCATATTGGGCAAATTATACCGTATGAGCGACATACCATGCGCATGGTATTCCCGGTCCAAATACGGCACCGTTTTATTAATTGAAAAAGAGGCACGCATCCATGCACTACTCCAGCCACCCCTGTTCGCCGATTCCATCGCAACTCGTGTGAGCTTTCTCCTTTCTTCTCCTTCTTCTCCTCCACTTCCTACTTCTACTTTCTTTTTTATCTGTTAATGAATGAATCAAAGCTTATTGTTCCATAAGATTTATGCATAACCCTTTTAAGATTGAAAGCAAATTCTTTTCATTTGATTTAGCAGGTCAGCGTATTATTCCAATTCAGATTAATCTGAATTTTTCCATTCTCCTGGATGTTGATTTCACAAGTTACATCTCATTGTTCCTATTAGAGTATATGATCATTATTTGCTCGGTTTTATATTTTGTAATAACAAACTTGTTAATATGTTAGCTTGGAAGTTAAGCCAAGTAGTTAGTTAGCTTGGTGGTTAGATATTTTGTTAGTTGTCACATATACTTGTAATCAGTCTATAAGTACGATCATTTTCCTCTAAGGAAGAATAATGAAGTTTTCATTTTTCCTCTTCATCATTTCGCATGCTCATATGATAATAGTTCTCAAGTTAAATTCGAATACGCTAAAGTTACATTCACACATTACATCAGATTTGTTCCCAAGTTACATTTGAATCAAAGCAGTTTACATTTCAATGAGTTACATTTGAATCAATTGAATGAGTGTAATTTATATCATGATAAACTTGAAGTTACATGTGGATTCACACGAGTTGCATTTCATATAGCCATGGGAGCATGGTGCTCAAAATGCACCGGTAACACAGTATACATACTCAGCATATTGAGTGTTAAAATAAGGCCACCAGTCGATAGTTGGACACTTTGACATAATTAAAATAAATGAACCTTTTGTTAGAATGGACAATTGGTAAACAATAAACCTAAACCACTTTTATTGGGTCGGTTTTACTAGTTTCAGTTGTATTCAGTTCAGTTTTGAATGAGTTCAATTTCTGTGTTTAGTCGGGTCAGTTTGAGTTTATTGGTTTTTTTGTTCAGCTCCGGTGGAGTGATTTACACACCACTATTTAAATTGTATTGTAAGGGAAATAAATGAAAAACGAATCAACAAATAAATATATACTCAAAGACGTTGAAAAAATCTGTTGATCTTGACGATAAATTCGTGTCCCTCCCCTAAAGTGCGTTGTTCTTCACTATTATGCTGCGTCCTGAAACTCTTTTCAACCCCTTTTCCCTAGCCAATCCTCCCATATGTGCTACTTCTTCCCATTTCTGTTGTCCAGCGTACAAATTTGACACTAAACTATAAGCACTCGCATTCCCAGGTTCCATACTCAACAGCCGTCTCCCTGCACATTCTCCCATCTCTCCCTTTCCATTAACCATGCATGAAGCAATGAAAGCCCCTAACGCCGAAGCGTTTTCTCTCAACCCCTCACACTTCAGAAGGTAATCCGCTTCCTCCAGCATCCCTCCTCGGCTTAGCAAATCCACCATGCACCCGAAGTGCTCATCCGTAGGGACCAATCTGTAATCTTCCATCATTGTCCTGAAAACAGATAGCCCCTCTGGTAATGCTCCTGAATGGCTGCAGGCCGATAACAAAGACGTGAACGTGTAGTTATCGGGCACCACTTTTTCCATCCTCATTTGGTTGAACAGTTCAAGTACACGGACACAATCCCCATGTGCTCCATATGAAGATAACATTGGGTTCCATGAAGATAAATCTCGTCCAGGCATTCTATCAAAAAGAACCCGGGCACAATTTAAATCTCCACATCTGCTATATGCCATGATCAGAGAGTTAATGATGAGAATGCCCTCATGCACATCTATCTGCCGACAGGCACAGGCGTGTACCTCTCTTGCAAAGCTTAAAAATCCAAGCTGAGTAATCGCCTGAAGAAGAGCTACGAATGTCAAGGAATCTGGATTTATGTTTTCTCTTTGCATGGAACGGAACAAAACCAAGGCTTCATTTGCCTGGCCGTTATTAACATGGCCCATCATAGCCGAAGTCCATGATACTATGTCCTTTTTTGTTATCCTCCCAAACACTTCACTCGCGTGTTTAATTAGACCACACCTTGAATACGTCTCAATGAGCTGGTTAGCTATGTCGGTGGTAGATTCAAGCCCGGATTTGATCAGGAAGCAATGGATGACACTTCCTTGGGTGACATCTTTCATATCAGATATTGCAGAGAGTACACAGATGATCGTACTTATGTTTGGCTTGAAATCCAAGCGTAGCATTTCATGGAATAAGTTCCATGCTTGTTTTGGAAGACCATTTTGAGTGTAACTGCTTATCATCACATTGAACAGGACCACATCCATGTGATCCGCTCTATCAAATACCATTTCAGCATGGACCAAATGGTCGCATTTTGAGTACATATCGATAAGAGTTGTATTCGCTACGAGATCAAGGTTAATACCAGATCGGATGACATAAGCATGTATGCTCTTTCCCCCAAGCAAGTACTGAAGATCAGCACAGCTTGATAGTGCACTTGTTATAGTGATCTGATCAGGTTTGTGGGTGTTGTCTGTCATTAGTTCAGCAAATAGTTCCAAAGCCTCCAAAGGCTGCCCTAACCTGAGATGGGCAGTGACCAAAGCATTCCAAGAACCAATACTCTTTTCACTGATATTCGCAAATACAGCAATGGCCTTTTCTGGGACTTCACATTTTATATACATGTCCATTAGAGTTGTCAGGAAAATATCGTTTGAACAACCAATCCCTCTTCTGAGAGCATACCCATGGATTGCATTTCCCTCTTCCAATGCTCCCAAAGAAGATGCTGCTTGAAGTAAGCTAACCAGAGTTACCCGGTTTGGTTCAAGGTTTTTCCTCTGCATCTCACATGCAATTCTAAAAGCCTCATAGGCATACTGAAAACCCAATTGAGCACATCCTGTAATCATCACTGTATAAACAACTACATCTTTTGCAGTTATTTCATCAAACACCTTAGCTGCATCACCAATGGCAGCTCTATCTGAATAGAATTTGGCCAGAAA